AAGTGAAAGTCACTCAGTTGTGTTTGACTCTTTGTGACCCCATGGACTATACAGTCCATGAAATTCTCCAGGTCAGTATTCTCCACCCAATACTGGAGTGGGTAACCTTTCCCTTCTCCAGGGGAACTTCCCAACCCAGGGATCGAATCCAGGTCTCCTGAATTGCAGGCAGATTCTTCCACAGCTGAGCTACAAGGGAAGCCCAAGAATACTGGAGTGAGTAGCCTGTCCCTCCTCTAGGGGATCTTCCTGACCCAGGAATCGAACCGGGGTCTCCTGCATTGCAGGCAGATTCTTTACCAACCGAGTTATACATGAGCTATCATATATGAGCTATGGTGCTGAAGGCTGTTCTAACGTTTGAGAATATGTTTTGTCATTGAATCCTCACAGCTATGCTAGCAGGTAGGAACTGTTCTGACTCCCAGGCTCTGCCATTTTACAGATGAGGAAACTGAGGCACAGAGAAGTTACTTTTCAAAGGGACACAGCAAATGAGAAACAGGGCCAGATGCTAATCCAAGCATTTTGTTGCTAAAGCACTTGCCCACAACTGCACGGAGATAGGGGACAAGGAGAATCATAGGCCGACTCATTTAGAAACAGTTCCATGGAATATATGAATTAATTTAAGATGCATGAATTCCTCCTAACAGAGTGTGAATTGCAATGAAAATCTGAGACCTTCTTGGTTATAAATCTATTAGTAGCGGGTACTGGTGGTTCCTCTCTTGTAAATAGCCATTTTAGGGATTCCAGATGATAATTCACATATAAGGATTATCATGGAATATCACTACATAGGTTTGCATGTAAGTTAAGCCACATTCTCCAGCTGAATTATTTTATCCAGGAAAAGTGTGGAATAACACAATATGGAATGTTAGCCTATTAAGCAAAGGAATTCCACTGTCTTAATGGAATTAGTTTTGCGTAGAACTCAGGTCTGACTTGGCAAGTTTTGGTAACTCACTGCAATTTTTGGGGTGGCCCCCAAAATGCTTTAGAAAATTATTTCCCTGCAGAACTGAAGGAAAACAGGAGCCTGTGAATTTACCCACTGATTTGAATGGATGTGTCCTAGATGCTTTAGGTCCCCACACCTCTTTTTCTATTACAGCAGGGTATTTATCAGAATGTTCTGAGCTGTCACCACCACTGGACCTAACTTTGCCTGAATAAACTCAGCTTAAGTCATTGCCTTGTCCATAGGCTCTCATTTCACTGGACTGATAAAGGAATTCTGTGGGTGAGACTACACATGTAAAACGAGTGGATCCCAACACACCAAGACTCTACCTTTAGTTCACCCGAATTAACCCAATTTGCTGCAGAATTGAGTTGGCTTCTGCGTAACTAACACCAGTCAAAAGGGTTTTTATGCTCTCTGGACAGCTGGGCCACAGTGGTCCTGCTCATGGTTGCATAGAGCTCAGACACAGTCTAGAGCTATAACATGATAGTAAAGCTGGTGTTTTAAAATTTATTTATTGTATTATTTTTAAGCTGGTGGATTTTTTTTTTTATCAAGGTGGTTTTTAAAGGCTTTTACTCCAAATGTTGCTTGCTTAGTCGCTCAGTAGTGTCCAACTCTTTGCAACCCTTGGGACTGTAGCCCTCCAGGCTCCTCTGTCTGTGGGTTTTTCAGGCAAGAATACTGGATTGGGTTGCCCTTTCTTTCTCCAGGGGGATCTTCTGACCCAAGGAACGAGCCCATGTCTCCTCCATGGCAGGCAGATTGCTGCTGAGCCACTGGGGAAGTAACATCTCTTATTTGGTGAAATAATTATCCTTCTGCCAACCTGGCTCTCTTGCCTATACCTTGGTGCTTTCCAGCCTAGTAATTCCTCAAATTTGAGGTTTTATAGAATGGAAAGTGAGTTAATTTTCCTTTCCTGTCAGTGTTGTAAAGTTCCATATGGAGTTCACTCAGTTGGAAGAACATCTGTGTTAATCAGGCAAACTAAACGTGGAATGGGCCTGAACTGTCCATTTGAATGATTTATCTCTGCAAAGGACAAAACACAGCATGCAAATGGCTACCCAGTTTTAGCAAGAAGGCTAAAAATTATAACGAGTGATTACAGTTCCATTATTTAAACTTAAATTCAATTTTTTAAAAGACATCCTCAGTTCGATCCATGACAGCGTGTATTTGAAATATTTGAGGAGTGATCTTATCTGCCCTATTTCATTCTTAAATAGTCGAATTAAAAACCTAATTCCTACTAAAACACTTTAAAATGAGCAGTTGTTAACGAGGAAGAAACATGAGGTCACTTCTGAGAATGAGATAGGTTTTCCATTCTCAGAGTAGGAGATGTGGGCAAATTTTAATGATGGATCCTAAGACAGTCATAGGCAAGAAGAACATCAGTGACCATGTGACCGAACTTATTCCACACACTTACATTACAATGGAGAAGCCTGCTCACACATCTATTTTCAGCCAGTGGAAAGGTAGGAAAGATGCTCTGGGCTAAGACAACCAATATCTGTGGTCACAGCCTCAGGAGCGGTAATAGTGTCCACTGCTACTGGTGGGTCTCTCCCCATCACCCTCAGCCAGAACTAGTATTTTTGCTTGCCCCAGGCAGTGGTGAATCCAGTGGAGCTGGTGAAGAGACTCTTAATTGGGTGGGGTGTTAAGCCATGTTTATCCTTCCTTCACCCATTCATTGTACCTTTTGCTTTAAAAGCACCAAAGATGAAAGACAATTTGGCCAATTAAATAGGAAAAGGAGTTGGGGCTTTGCCTGAAAGGACATCATTTCAGAAGTCAACTTTTTTCCCCAACTTCATTAAAGTTATAAAATATGCCTAGTTAATCTGAGAGCTGCCATTGTCTAAAAATGCATCCAGACTTAACTGGATGGGTGGTTGCGGAACAGGAGCTATTTAGGATTAGAAAGTCATTGTGCTTTTAAACAAATTGCATGCTATTTACGAATTCTTGGGCAGTTAATCTGGATCGTTTCCATTCCATTGCAAGCAGAAGACGGGCCACGAGCCCATGTCTCCTCCATGGCAGGCAGATTGCTGCTGAGCCACTGGGGAAGTAACATCTCTTATTTGGTGAAATAATTATCCTTCTGCCAACCTGGCTCTCTTGCCTATACCTTGGTGCTTTCCAGCCTAGTAATTCCTCAAATTTGAGGTTTTATAGAATGGAAAGTGAGTTAATTTTCCTTTCCTGTCAGTGTTGTAAAGTTCCATATGGAGTTCACTCAGTTGGAAGAACATCTGTGTTAATCAGACAAACTAAACGTGGAATGGGCCTGAACTGTCCATTTGAATGATTTATCTCTGCAAAGGACAAAACACAGCATGCAAATGGCTACCCAGTTTTAGCAAGAAGGCTAAAAATTATAACGAGTGATTACAGTTCCATTATTTAAACTTAAATTCAATTTTTTAAAAGACATCCTCAGTTCGATCCATGACAGCGTGTATTTGAAATATTTGAGGAGTGATCTTATCTGCCCTATTTCATTCTTAAATAGTCGAATTAAAAACCTAATTCCTACTAAAACACTTTAAAATGAGCAGTTGTTAACGAGGAAGAAACATGAGGTCACTTCTGAGAATGAGATAGGTTTTCCATTCTCAGAGTAGGAGATGTGGGCAAATTTTAATGATGGATCCTAAGACAGTCATAGGCAAGAAGAACATCAGTGACCATGTGACCGAACTTATTCCACACACTTACATTACAATGGAGAAGCCTGCTCACACATCTATTTTCAGCCAGTGGAAAGGTAGGAAAGATGCTCTGGGCTAAGACAACCAATATCTGTGGTCACAGCCTCAGGAGCGGTAATAGTGTCCACTGCTACTGGTGGGTCTCTCCCCATCACCCTCAGCCAGAACTAGTATTTTTGCTTGCCCCAGGCAGTGGTGAATCCAGTGGAGCTGGTGAAGAGACTCTTAATTGGGTGGGGTGTTAAGCCATGTTTATCCTTCCTTCACCCATTCTTTGTACCTTTTGCTTTAAAAGCACCAAAGATGAAAGAAACTTTGGCCAATTAAATAGGAAAAGGAGTTGGGGCTTTGCCTGAAAGGACATAATTTCAGAAGTCAACTTTTTTCCCCAACTTCATTAAAGTTATAAAATATGCCTAGTTAATCTGAGAGCTGCCATTGTCTAAAAATGCATCCAGACTTAACTGGATGGGTGGTTGCGGAACAGGAGCTATTTAGGATTAGAAAGTCATTGTGCTTTTAAACAAATTGCATGCTATTTACGAATTCTTGGGCAGTTAATCTGGATCGTTTCCATTCCATTGCAAGCAGAAGACGGGCCGTTCTGCCTGGCTATCCCAACTTCCACGTCAGTTCCCCAGAGGAATCAAGTTTGTCCTACAGATGTTAGCTCTAACGGAGATGAGCCTGAGGGACTCTCAACTTCCGGCTACTTTTATCCCCTCTCTGGATACTATTAAGTCGCTCCTGCCTGAAGCAGAGGACGGGTCTTTGCTTCAAAGGCAGCTAAAGAGTGAATTATTTACCAAACTGCACAAAGGGGAGGATTTATCAAGGCTCCCCTTCTTTTCCCCCAGAGAGGACAACCACAGAACTAGAAGACTTTATTACTCTCTTTCTCGGCAGTAAATTATGCCATTCAGATGCATTTGAAAGCTTCCCTTCATGCTCTGGATTGAGTCATAAAACTTGATACCTGGGGCCAAATGCCTTTATCCTCCCAGAAGGGTAACAAAGGTGAAAGGGCAGCCATTCTAAGCCAGTGCCACACAAAGGCAATGAGTGGGCACAATGCGTGGGCAGTGGAGACCCTTACTCTGCCTATTTCACCCCTCTTCAACCTGATGTTCTCCGAAATGAATCCGATCACTAGCAGATCATCAAACCCTCCAAAACCTGAATGAGCCACATGGAAACCACTGGGTTGTCATCAGACCACCTATCTGATTGTTGTCCTTAGTGTGATGCTGGACTTAAAAAAGCTTGTGAATTTCAAGACAAAACCATCACTCACCTTTTAGATTTTGTGAATCTCAATAAACCCGCCACTTACCTTTTAGATTTTGTGAATTTCGATAAATCTGCCACTCACCTGGAGGGGGTTTGCTGGGGCCCGCTTTCTCTGATTTCTTGGGAGTCATGGTACTCTTATGTTTCTGCTTGACTGAGGTTTGGTCAATTGCTGGAAGTCTAGAATCGGTCTTACAAGCAGAACTCGTGGCAGATAATCTTGGTTCGGCTTGAGCATCCTCATCACCAGAAACCTACCAAAAATGAAAGGTCAGATCTGAGTATCAGTGATCAATAGGTCCTCTTTGCTGGGCAGAAGAAAGAGACAAGCCAAATGCAGCAACCTCTCAACAGAGATATCAGAGTGTCCTGCCAGCTCAATGTGCCCTTTTCGCCAGTCAGATTTTCATGGACTGGGCATAGCAATTTAGAAATAATAGCAAAGTTAATGAGTCTATTTGGTAGGACATTATGAAAAGAATGAATTCCTGACCCTTAAGTAATTGGATGACCAATAAACAGCTCATGTTAAAAGCTGCACATGAAAGCATCCATGCATTTAAACTTCTTGCTATTTGTTATTTGAACTACTCCAGGGTGGGTGAGGAAGAACCATTCCTTATGTTAATCATATAGTTGATAATGAAAAGGAAATTTAGAGATGTATGTTGGGACTGAATAAATGAGACCTCAGTTTATGCTCTGAATTATCAGGTGCAACATAAGACAGATTAATTTTTTAAGAAAGACCCTACTTGTCAGTCTTCTGTAAAGAAGTCATTATAAATCTATGCTTGGACAAACCATGACTCACATGGTATCAGAATATCTTAACCCAGCCTTACAGATGCAATGAAATCTGCCTGCAGTGCAGGAGACCTGGATTTGATCCCTGGGTTGGGAAGATCCCCTGGAGAAGGGAATGGCTACCCACTCCAGTATTCTTGCCTGAGAATTCCACGGACAGAGGAGCCTGGCAGGCTACAGTCCACGGGGTGGCAAAAGAATTGGACACAACTGAGCAATTATCATACTTTGCCACACTTAGAGTGAAAACAACATACATAATTAGGAGAAACTTGGTCTTGAAGGTGATTTAAGTCCTGCCTTATGGTCCTAGGTCCTGGTGTTCATATGATTTGCTAGGTGATATACTCCATGGCAGATAAAACCAAAGGACTGCCGCCCCTCCTCCCAGGAAAAGGGTCACTAAATACTCCTGCATTGCACAATGGTCTGTATTGGCAAGCCCTCTGCAAATGTATTCCTCTGTCAACACAGAGTGCTAAATTAATGCCCCCCACGTCTCTCCAGTGGTGGCGATTTGTATTGATCTTGCTCCCTGTTCTCGCTGACAGTTGTGGCATTTTCATTTTAAGCCACCTGACTCAGGAAAATACTTTGAATAGCTTTGAATTATTGGGTGCAATGTAAGACAAACTCAGCTCTCAAAACAGTCCCCTACCTGTCAGTCTTCTATAGGGAAGTCAGTACAAATCTACAGGTGGACAGATCATTCTTCTCTGGATTATAAATCATGTTTGGTAACTTAGAGCCTGGCGACAGCCTTCCAACAAATAATTATTGTTTCTCTCTGCATTTTCAGAAAACAGACCACCCTCAGATAAAGGGATGAGAAGAAGGAAAGGACATAATGAGTTGCTTGTTCTCCCTTTTCCCTTGTGAATCTGGAATTTAATAGAAATCCTTGATAATGATTCTGAAATGTCAAAGATGAAACATGAGGTCATTTCTGGGCATGAGATAGGCTTCCCATTCTCAGAGAAGGAAATGTGGGCAAATTTTAATGATGGTGCCTAAGACGGTCATAGGCAAGAAGAACATCAGTGAGCATGTGACCAAACTGCCACACACTTACATTAGTGAATGGAGAAGACTGCTCACACATCTATTTTCAGCCAATGGAAAGGTAGGAAAGATGCTCTGGGCTAAGACAAACAATATCCATGGTTACAGCATCAAGAGCAGTTAATAGTGTCCACTGCTACTGATGGGTCTCTCCCCATCACCTTCAGCCAGAACTAGAATTTTTGCTTGCCCCAGGTGGTGGTGAATCCAGAGGAGTTGGTGAAGAGACTCTTAACTGGGTGGGGTGTTAAGCCATGTTTATCCTTCCTTCACCCATTCATTTGTACCTCTTGCTTTAACAGCACCAAACATGAAAGAAAGTTTGGCCAATTAAACCATGGCTAAATGAGCTGGCACAACTTAGCAACTAAGCAACAAACAACAACAAAATTATATTTGGAATTATGCACTTGCCTTTCAAATACATCTTTCTGTGGTTCCTGGTTCTATCAACCTGACTTCCAGTTCTGAATCCCTCTATTTTTCTTTTTTTTAACTTTTTATTTTATATTGAAAGATAGCTGATAGTTTCAGGTGGACAGCATAGGAACTCAGTCATACATATTACGAGTATGATAATCACTCTTGGGTCCAGAAATTACAGCTGAAAGTGAGTGAGTTGTCAGCTGGAAACTAAAACCACAATGGAAAGAACTAGAATACTTATAAATGCCCTACTGGGTCTTTTCCTGCTTGCTTCATTGACTAATCTTAAGCCAATCACTTCAACATTTTGTGTCTTCATTTGTGTCTTATCATGTACTCAGCCTCATGTATCCTCTGTCCTGAAAGCCCATTATATTATCCAAGGAGGATGAGCCTTGGGTGAAAGGAGTTGTAGTAACTCATTCTGGCAATAAAATGTAATATTAATATATAAGACTGTAGCCCAGCATCCTGGGAGTGAATCCTCATTGTTGCACATAGTGACTGTGTGACATGGGGTTAGTTTTAGTTAGTTCATCTCTTTGCCTCTCAGGTTTTCTCATCTGAACAATAGTGCTTTCCATTCAGTGGTTCTCTGAGGACAAAATGAGTTAAGATATGTTTATTGCACTTAGAACACTGCCAGGCACTGAGGAAGTGCCATGTAAGTGTTGGCTTTTGCAATTAGCCATTCATGTTAAGCTGGTTAAACAATTAACTAGCTAACTACTGAACATTAACTGCTTGCTGTTGAAACCAAAACCATAAGCCCCTCTGAGAAATTCTAATGGGTTTTCACGTATTTCAAAGAGCAATGGACAGCAAGGTGGGGCGAGTCCTACACCAGACTCTTGATTTCTTCCAAAGGCTGTATAATTTATGATTGTGACATAAGTATCCAGTTGACATTTATCTAGCCTTAAGAAAAATACGGTAAAAGTTCCCTTTCAGACAGTAAAGCTCTAATGGAAAATATTTAACATTTAAAGATTATCAGATGATAATAATTAAATTACACTGATTTAAAGCTGATTTTAAAATGACGTCTCTTCCTCTTGCAATTTTAAAGAGCAATTACAACTTTCGTTTCTTCTCCCTTATGTTCCTACGTTGAAATGTCACATGGAGGTTGGAGGCAACAGCACATTGCTATTCCTTTAAGAGGAAGAAAACTAGCTCTGTCTTTCAAAACCAAAGCCTGAAGCATGAAACAGAAACAAACAAACAAACAAAACAGAAAATTCCAGACTAGATTCTCTCTTGGTAATTTGAAAAGAGTCCTAAGAAAGCCATGTTAACTAAAGAAACTCTTGTTGAAATTAATATGTATATAGGGTATTATGATTTTTGTAATTCACCTTTTTCAAAGATTCCCCAGCTTGCTCTTTGGGCATCGTCCATAACAAAGTTGAGATATTACCTTAATCAGAGCTGGAATCTCTCAAAAGTTCAGAAACTTTCACCACTTCCCTGGTGGTCCAGTGGCTAAGATTCCATGCTCCCAATGCAGGGGGCCTGGGTTCAATCCCTGGTCAGACAACTAGATCTCACATGCTGCAACTAAGAGTTTGTATGCTGCAACTAAGACCCATCACAGCCAAATAAATAAATAAATTTAAAACTTTTAAATCAAACCAATTAAAAAAAGAAAGAAAGTTCAGAGAAAAACTCATACAGGGAAAAGAAGGAATTTACCTTAGGGTATGTAAGTGGCACTGGGCACTGAAGTAGGACTTTGAAACATTATAATGGTTCTGGTTAGACCTTTTGGAAGGTGGAGACCCAAGAGTTGGGAAGTGGGATACATTTTCTCAGGGATGTGAGAGTGACTGGATCTTTAAACAAGGACCTACTGATGTTGAGTCTGAAATGACAAGGTGACACTGAACAGAGATGATCAGAAGGGCAAGGAGACAGAAGTAGTCAGGAACAGAAAAGATCAAGTCATTTTCCAGCTCTTGCCTGATGGCTCATTTCCAAGACCTAAGGAGCTGCTTCTCAACCGGTATGCCACCTCCCTCCCTCCCTTGCTGAATTCTGATTGATGTGTGCAAATCCCATTGTAGCCACGTGTCATGTGATGGATGGAAGGCTGAGCTGAGTGGATCTTATGACCTAGTGTAGAGATCAGGACATGACTTGCTGTGAATAAGAAAACAGGCAAACAGCAGTGTCAGGCTGGTGTCAGAGAAAGCCAGTGTGCTTGTTGCAGTTGAAATAAAGCATTCTCATGAGATTGTGAAAGAGAAGGATCAAGGTCGTGAAACTTGACACTCAAACAGTAATGACACGGGAAGGGTGGCCAGGGGACTGTGGGTGCAAACGTGTGTCTTCCGAGTGTTGTCCCCAAAGTCCACATTCCTACTGCGCCTCAAACACAAAAACTGCCTTTGGAAATTGAGGGCAGCTTGTATAAATATAGCACTGGCCAAGAAGTTCATTCCAGTTTTTCTATTACGTCATATGGGAAACCCCAAATGAACTTTTTGGCCCACCCAATAGCATTCTGGACAGGATGGGTACCTTTATGAATTCAAGAAATATAAAGTTAGCTGGTTCTATGCAGTCTCATAAAGCTGGCTAAATGTTTTCTCTTCTAGGGGGGAAAAAAAAACCACGACTGTCAGGGCAGCAATCCCTGGGTTGGGAAAATCCTCTGGAGAAGGGAATAGCAACCCACTCCAGTATTCTTGCCTGGAAAATCCCATGGACAGAGGACCCCAGTGGTCTACAGTCCATAGAGTCACAAAAGAGTTGGACATGACTGAAGTGACTTTGCACGTGTAGCTGATTAACAATATTGTGATTGCTTTAAGTGAACAGCTAAGGGACTCAGCCATACTTATACATGTATCCATTCTCCCCCAAACTCCCCTCCCACCCAGGCTGCACATCTGTTATTTTTGCCTGTGCACTCTTGATTGCCCTTACTTTTACTAACAGCACCCAGTTTTCTCAG